GTAATGTTTTAAAACATTGTTTTAAACAATTTAAAAAACATATAAAACAATAAAAAATGTTTTTTTACCATCCCTAGCTGCAACCAATTTTAAAAAAATGACTTTCGGATTATAAAAATTTATGAAAATTTTGTTGCGGTCCGCAGACTCCGCAACCCAATTTTAGAAAAATTTCCTTAATCGGTTAACCGAACCGAATTATTTCATTCAACTGGTTGCCAACCGATTAATATTAATATCTACACTACCTTTGAAAATTCTTGGAGCTTTACACTAATTTTTGTTTCGACCTTGCTCGTCTTTTATGTTCATTTATTTTCTTGTCGGAACTTTTCGGATCCTTGTCTATATTAATCCCGCCAACCGGTTTACCGAGTCAACCGATTAAGAATTTCCTCAATCGGTTACCGGTTCTCAACCGATTCAAGTAACTAATATATATATATTATCTATATAATATTTTTTATTTTATAATATAATTTTAAATTTAAATATAAAATTATACTATATATGTGTAATTTTACTGTATTTTTTTGATATAGAACCCAACTAACTTTTTTGTATATACTGTAGTATACATATTTATAAAGCTTTGTATATAAAATTTTTATCTACTAAGGTTAGTATTTAGTTAGATTTAAAGTTTTAAAAAAAGTTTTTAAAGTATATATTTTTATTTAAAGCACTATATTACTAATTAATTAGCTAATTTTTGAAATAATACTGTATATACAATTTATTATAACAGTTTTTCTTGTTTAATACGCCGGAAAATGCTTCATTTTATGCAAAATTTTGATTGTTTGCTTTATTATTATATATACAGACGCATCTTCAACGCAGGGCAGCCGTTAAAATGGAAAAGTCTCTCATTTAATTGCATTGAGTTTATTTGATATATTTGTTGAATCGAAAGTATGACAAATTGAAACAAAGATTTGTTATTCTTGGCGTTGGTAGAACTAAAAAGATCAATCAAGAAATATTATTTTAAAATTATTTTAAAAAGGTAAAAATTATTTCTCAAAAATTTGTATAAGAAATCAACAATGTCATATCATTTTATTCTCATTCTATGTTTGCTCCAACAAAAAAATTAGATTTTTTTTATATGTCTTCGGTTATCAATATGGATTTATATTTTATTTACACAAGTCAGATCTATTGTCACGTGAAATACCGGCGGCTATAAAAGGCCAGTATATATTTGATAAGCATTTATTTTTCAAAATGTCAGAGGCAGGACAACGCGTTGTTATTCTTGGAGGTGGAGTTATTGGTTCTTCAATCGCATATCATATAACCTTACTTAACAAAGACCCGAATTTGAAGGTTACTGTTGTCGAACAGACTGCGATTGGTTGCGCTGCCTCGGGTAAAGCAGGGTAAAAAACACTTATTTTATCAATAACTATTGTTTTTTTAA